AACAACATGGAGGGCGCTGGAAATATCGGAGAGCTGTGTGTTGTGCGAATCAAACGTACCGCTATTTCTGGGCGCATTATTAGCAGCTCTGATCATATTTATTCCGCCACTGCTCTGTGCTTATGCAACGCTTGTAATTTCCGGAAAAACAAGAACAAAGCGAGCGCATCAGATGACGCAGTCGAATTCACCACGCAGGTAAGCATCGCGATACTCCATTTTCCAACTTTTCTTTGCAAATTGCTGAAAGGTGATTGCAAGGGATTCCAGATTATTATCTGCTGAGAATAATGTTGTGCATATTCAGCTAAGTCCCTGCCTAGTAAGCATCTTCGATCAGTGTGCGAGTATTTGCGAAGCGACTACAAAGGATAAATAAAAATAAGAAATTTTTATTGTTTTTATAAATTAAAAAATTTTCACATTTTGAAACAGAACAAACTTTTTCATTTTCTTTCCTGTGAATAAAACAAATTTTGCTTCTCATCCGACGTTTTTGTCAAAAAAAAAGTCAAAGAAAAAAATTTAAACAGGACCTATTAGTTTTTTTAAACAGGTTTTTCTGCACGAATTAGTTCAGCTTCTGCATTATTATTTTTATCAACTTCTCTTCGCCGATTCAATATGAACTCAGAAGTTCTAGTGCTATTCTGAAAACGACCAGTGTATACTTGTAAGTAGTGATGGCATTTGTGCAGATTGAACACGGACATGGTACAGTCCGAACAAACGGAAAGCACGGAACTTAAATCGTCTGTTGTTACCAAACGATCGATTGGCATACAACTTTCTGCATCATCAACACCACGATTTCCGCGTTACAGAGGTAAGATTTCGAAGAAAAACTCAATGTTTCCAAAATTCTACTAAAAAAACCTCAAGTCAGCACTCCATTCACTGCATGTAGGAAAGGAACAGAAACACTGCAATGGTATAAAAACGCATGATCGCATCCGCGATTTTAGTAAGTTTTGTTGGTTTTTTTTTTTCAATGGCACAGCTACGCCTGGTGCTTGGCAATACCCCAAAAACATTAATAACTTCGGAAGCCATAATAGCTGTCCGATCAGCCCCGATTTTTTTAATGCCTAGTTTCAAATAACTTTCTAATTTGTGTTTTTAACATTTTTGCAGGTATATTCTGGTCACAAGTGGCGAATTCACCGCAGCTTACACCAAGAAACGGTGGGCACTCATCGCTTTCATCTAACACGGATCACGAACTGGAATACGACTACTATGAGCCAGCAGTGCCAGGATCGTTCCTTACTCCAGCCGCGGACATCTGTTCCGATATCGATATTGAACAAATCATCGCTGGTTCGTAACTACTGCGAAGTGCTGCTGCATCAGGGCATGATGCTCATACTCATATCGACGGTCCATAGCCTAGCACGGTGCGGTAATCGCAAAAGAGTTATCCATGAGCTGCACGCTTATTAACATTCCAGAATTGCTTTCATGATTTCATTTTTGGAGAACTCATGCTATGATTTTCTCAAGCCCTTTTTTTCTGAGGGGAAGGGCCAAAAATTGAAAATTTGTAAGAAATCCACTCACATAATGGACAGAAATAGCTATGCGAAAAACCACCGATTTACGAGGATTGCTTCTTCAGCCAGTTTATTTAGGATTTTTAGAACTGGGTACAGCAATCAGTGCTATTGAAAAGCAATGTTATATCTCGGAGATATGAGAAGCTTGGCTCTTTTCTTGAGTGATGAGGTGACAAAGTCGTTCTTCCGGGAAGGAAACGACTGTCCCTCTGTACGCAGTGACCATCCGTTTTTTACCCGATACTTTTTGCAAACGAAAAAGCTACCCTCGCAATAAAATGACGCATGAAAATTACTTTTTATGTGTCATAGTGGGCCGTCTGACACTGACACTCCAGAGAAAATGGGCAATTAGCATATCTCGTCCCTGCTTTCGTTTCCTTTCCTCCTTCAGAAAACGTAAGTTATTACTCGCCTATTCGATAAACCACGGGGAATTAAAATGTCACCTTCTTTTTCAGAGTACTGATGTGGTTTGATTTTTTTGAGACTCCGGAATGCTTGAGAAACGGAAAAAGTGATATTATGTACCGTTAAATTCTAGACTGAGTATACCATTTAAAAAAGCAATTATACAACCATTATGTTATGCGGGTCTTTCTTCTCACAAAGTTGATGAATTTGTTAGCATTTTTATGCGTTATTTTGCAGCTATGCAATGCAAATAAATT